ACATCAGAGATCCAACCCACATCCTCATGAGCTGATGCATTGTGGGAGGTAAAGTCTCAATCTTAATCTTGTTAGATCTAAGTGCTGCCTTTGACACTGTCGACCATGAGATCCTCTTACAGAGACTAGAGGACTGGGTTGGAGTCGCTGGCACCGCCCTAAGTTGGTTTAGGTCTTACCTTGAAGACAGGAAGTACTTTGTGGAGATTGGAAACTGTGTCTCAGATCATATGGCCCTGACCTGTGGAGTACCACAGGGGTCGATCCTGGGACCTCTTCTGTTCAATCTCTACATGCTGCCGTTAGGTCAGTTAATACGCAGAAACAAAGTTTCCTATCATAACTATGCAGACGACACTCAGATCTATGTCTCACTGACTGCAGGAGAACATGGACCAGTGGACTCACTCCTTCACTGTATCCAACAGATCAGTGAGTGGATGCAAAACAACTTCCTTCAGCTAAACGCAGACAAAACTGAAATGATTGTCTTTGGTCCCCAGAAACAAAGAGAGAGCGTCATCTGTCATCTACAGTCTCTCTCCCTAAAACCTTCAAACAAGGTCAGAAATCTAGGGGTAATACTGGACTCAGACTTGCTGCTTTTCAGATTAATGCTGCTAAAATCTGGAAGTCTTCCTGAAGATGTGAGACAGGCCTCCTCTCTGACAATGTTTAAAACCAGGTAAAGACAGTTCTGTTTAGCTGTGCATACAACTGAGGGATTTTATATTTTATATTCAGTGCAGATAAACAGCTCGGACTTTACCAAAGAAACGACCGCTTTGTTCCATAAAATCTGCTTTGAAGAAACTGTCTCCATCGTGTCTTTGAAACACATTCTTCTTCTCCGTCTCAAAGAGTCGTTTGTTCATCTCTGAGTCTGCTCTGAAGAAACTGGAGATCACCAAGGTCGAGGTCGAGGTCGAGGTCAGAGGTCAGAGGTCAGGGGCGTCCTCCACACGGAGCATTCCTCTGTGATGTCACACGACACTGCCTCACATTAGACTTGGACAAACTACAAACGACTTTCTGTTTCAGAGCAGCTTTGACTTCATGTACGACTCCACCTGCAGGGGAAAGTCTAATCCTGTCAAATCATAGAAGCTAAGCTTATAAGGTATGGTCACTGCTGTGATGGGAGACCTTTATTTAACTAGGAAAAAACAACGGAGCTTTGGGCCAAGAGACACTTTTGGACCATCCTGTAAAGACGTTTTCCAGAGGTAAGAAGATGCTATATGTTAGCATTGGCTAATTCTACTTCCGGGTCCACCCCCACAGGCCCGGGGTGGTACTGCAGCATGTCAGCGCACGTCATTTTGGCCACTTTTGACACTCTGCTGCTTCTGTTGGACATGGAATAATATCACTACACAATGTTGTGTAGTGATATTATTCCATGTTGTGTAGTGATATTATGGACACAATAATGATGTTCACATCTTATGTTAATATTTTAGAGCAGAGTTCGAATCCCAGGAGTGTCCTTTGGGTTGCCAGTTTCTTTCTCTGGGTTGCCAGTTTCTGTCTCTGGGTTGCCAGTTTCTTTCTCTGGGTTGCCAGTTTCTTTGGTAAAGACGCGCTGGTTTGGTCGGTAAACTCCAGCAGGTGGACTGCATCAGTAATCAGAGCCTTTTGTTGTAAGACATAATACATAATTATGGGTATTTTACAACATTTTTATTTACGACATTACTTTGATTAGGTGCACTACTCTAAGTAATCTGAGTTACTCTGAGTTACTCTGAGGTACTCTTAGGTACTCTGAGGTAATCTGAGTTACTCTGAGTTACTCTGAGGTACTCTGAGGTAATCTGAGTTACTCTGAGGTACTCTGAGTTACTTCACATCAAGAGTATTTTTATTTTACACAATAGTTCTTCAGCTCCATCTGTTTAACTTTCAGATGTAAGAGTGACTTTACTTTACTTTGATATGTTTCTTTCTTAGCGTTACAGTAATCAGTTACTGTGGGCACTGTCCGTGCTCTCACTGCCCCCTGCTGGTAGGAGTCTGCACATTAGACTTTAGTTTGGTCCTCTGCGGCTCCCGTCCCCGGAGCAGTTTGAAACTTCGTTGCGGTTTGAGGATTTGTTCAAACACGGAAAAGAAACTAATCTGACCCTAAAACAGGTAAGTTATGTGTTTATGTCCGTATCAACAGGTCATTGAGGATGTTTAAGGTTCATTTTACTAACGAACAAACTTTATGAAAGTCACTGTTGTTTGGATTCAACTTATTTCCTTTAAACTGTTTGATTTTCTGATCTGCTGTTTGCGAATCGACAACTTAGTAAAGTCCCCAGAGACTGCTGTGGTTTATGCACAAATGCACTGAGATGAGCAGCTTACAGAATAAATCACATTTATAAAATATTACCTTCATTACAAGCTCATTTGAAAATAAACACAGTTTATGACTATACTTTTTCTGTTTTTCAAATGTTTTATATGAACTTCTGATGTGTCTTCAGCAAAGATGAAAGACAAAACAACCATATCCTATTAGCCGTAAAGACCCAGAGTCTGTTCACATAAAGGTTCATCAAAACATTTGAAAAACAGGATTCACCAACGACAAAAGAATGACCTGCCATAAAGTGCTTAAACTGTATTTTATCTCAGACTTTCAGGACTTTTCCAGACTAAATATGTGTATATTTGCTGCAGAATGGACTCCCCGCTCAGACATGGAAGCAGCAGCTCTTTCAAAACCCCCCAGAGGCTGAGGGCCTCCAGGAGCCACAGCAGCGGGAGCCACAGCAGCCCACTCACCATCCCGGCCTCGCCCTTCATGAAGAAACTGGGCTGTGGCACCGGGGTCAACGTCTACCTCCTGGACAGGTGTGTGTGTCTGTGTGTGTGTGTGTGTGTGTGTGTGTCTGTGTGTGTGTGTGTGTGTCTGTGTGTGTGCAGATGGTCTCTCACTGTGTTGTGTTGCGGTGACAGAATGGGGAAACTGAATCTGTCTCCGTGGGCAGTGAAGAAGATCAATGGTAACTGTGCGGCCAAACAGGCGGCACTTTACCAGAAGCGCCTGAACGAGGAGGCGAAGGTCCTGAAGGGTCTGGACCACCCTAACATCGTGGGTGAGTGTCTCCACAAGTGTCTCCACAAGTGTCTCCACAAGTGTCTCCACAAGTGTCTCCACAAGTGTCTCCACAAGTGTCCCCACAAGTGTCTCCACAAGTGTCTCCACAAGTGTCCCCACAAGTGTCTCCACAAGTGTCTCCACAAGTGTCTCCACAAGTGTCTCCACAAGTGTCTCCACAAGTGTCTCCACAAGTGTCTCCACAAGTGTCTCCACAAGTGTCAACAATAGTATTAAAATACATCAGTCCTTCAGGTCACAGCAGCAGAGGAGGAGCCTCATGGTCCAGACCATTGTCTCTGCTCTGGTCTGGACCAGTGTGAAACCATGAATCCTCTCTGCTCTGCTCTGGACCAGTGTAAAACCATGAATCCTCTCTGCTCTGGTCTGGACCAGTGTAAAACCATGAATCCTCTCTGCTCTGGTCTGGACCAGTGTAAAACCATGAATCCTCTCTGCTCTGGTCTGGACCAGTGTAAAACCATGAATCCTCTCTGCTCTGGTCTGGACCAGTGTAAAACCATGAATCCTCTCTGCTCTGGTCTGGACCAGTGTAAAACCATGAATCCTCTCTGCTCTGGTCTGGACCAGTGTAAAACCATGAATCCTCTGCTCTGGTCTGGACCAGTGTAAAACCATGAATCCTCTCTGCTCTGGTCTGGACCAGGGTTAGGGCTCGGGTCTGGACTCGCTGCAGTTTCCGGATCATTCAAGCCGAGCAGTAGAAGTGAATAATAATGAACTGTTTTATACATAAAGAATCTTTATCTTCTACATAAACTAAGTTTTAATATAAACCCTTTTTTCCCTTCTTTTCATGTTTCTATGTATTCTCTCTTCGCACAGATGGACTACTGTGTGCCACAGCTGCCCTGGGGCAGGAAACCAGGAGCTAACTGCTGGTGCTTTGTTGATTCCGCTGCAGGTTTTCGTGCTGTTGCCACGGCGACAGATGGATCGAAGTGTCTGGCCATGGAGTACGGAGGAGAGCAGTCACTCAACGACATGATCGAGAGGCGGCGAGAGGACGGTCTGAAAGCCTTTCCTGCCGCCAACATCGAGAAAGTGGCGCTGCATGTGGCTCGCGGTCTGAAGGTGACGGACTGTCGTAGTTTCACGGTTTGACCGAACCGGTTCTGGTTCTGAAGTCTAGTTTATTTCATCACAGAGTTTGTAATACTTTGTTTACATTTCAGTGCTACTGTGTCACGTGAACAAGATAATCTGGTCATTTTCCAAAATAAAGGATGGTTTAGACTTGGAAAATAAATACGGAAAATATTTGTTCTCTTTGGACCCGGGAGTTGGGGACATGGGTCTATGATAATAACTGGATAGAGTGTTACAGCTTGGAGCTGAAGGACCATGTGCTCAGGGGATTCTCGTGGTACTGCAGACTACACAGCACCATCTTGGATCATCTTGGATCACGGGGCTTGGTTGGAGACCAGTAGACGACATATTGTCCTTCAAAGGCTGCCGTAGCTGTAATACTTATTGTGAACTGTGTGGCGCTAGAGAGCTGACTGCGATGAATGATCCCTGATCATAGAAGGCAGTGTGTCTTTAAGATCCATCTGTGAGAGGGGCTCTCCTTCATAAACTCTGAATAACAAACTAAGAAACATATTTTAGCTGCAGGACAGACGTGAGCGAGTGAGAGTTTGGACATTTGTTTCAAAAAACAAAAGCCTTCCACAGTTAATAAAAGGAATGAGGCTGTATTCATTCAGTTTTCAGTGATATTCAGGTTAAGTAACACTTTACTGGGCTAATGGAGCTAAGTTAGAACCTCTGCAGTGATTGGTCGATATGACGTTCCAAACATATTCTAAAAAGTAATTTATTATTATTATTTTAGTATCTTCACAATGAGAAGAAGCTGCTTCACGGCGACATGAAATCCTGCAACGTGGTCATTAAAGGAGACTTCGAGACGGTCAAGATCTGCGACGTGGGCGTGTCCCTGTTTCTGGATGAGAACATGAAAGGTGAGAATAATCCTAATCCTCTCTAGAGCCTCATCAAGAAACTCTGCTGGAACATGTCGCCATCTAATCTACAACCTAATCTAGAGTAATCTAATCTAGAGTCTAATCTAATCTAGGGTGTAATCTAGAACCTAATCTAGAGTCTAATCTAATCTAGAACCTAATCTAATCTAATCTAGAGTCTAATCTAGGGTCTAATCTACAACCTAATCTAGAGTCTAATCTAATCTAGAACCTAATCTAATCTAGAGTCTAATCTAGAACCTAATCTAGGGTCTAATCTACAACCTAATCTAGAGTCTAATCTAATCTAGAACCTAATCTAGGGTCTAATCTAGTTTTATTTTAGAGTCCAGACACAGATGTATTTGGCTGTTCCAACTGTAACTCCCCGCTCCGCCACCAGGGGCAGACTTCAGTGGGACAATCAAACTATTACAGGGAAGCTTCCTCATTTTAATGTAGACTCATTTATAAAATCACAACTCTTTACTTTGCAGCAGTTGCTTTTTGTTTCATTTCAACAAACATGTTTCTTTGTAATTCCAGTTTTATGAAGAAAGGTGACTTACCTTTAACAATACTGGTGTAAAACTAAAGGTTTTTGGTTTAAATGGAGCATCCAGCCACAGCAGAGAGTAAATGTGTGGCTGCAGTTTCAGACCCGAAGGCGGAGTACATCGGCACCGAGCCCTGGAACCCCAAGGAGGTGATGGAGGGAGGACCGGTCTCTGACAAGGCCGACGTCTTTGCATTTGGACTGACGCTCTGGGAGATGATGACCCTGTCCATGCCACATCTGGACGCTCTCGACGAGGAAGAGGACGAGGAGGATGATGAAGGTGAGGAGGAGGAGGATGATGATGATGAAGAGGTTAAATAGGCTAAAGACAGCAGCTGACAACTGTTCAGCTGTAAGTGCTTCGTAATAATCAGTCATGGCTCTTGCATAACATTAAAATGACAGACCAATGAAATACGAAGTCCGACTGTTTGTGATGTCACATGTCCAGGTGACGAGAGCTTTGACGAGGGACGCGTATTACGAGCGGCTCGGGACTCGGCCTGCGCTGGACGCAGAGGCTCTGGGCGCCCCCTACAGGAGGATGGTGGAACTGTTCTACGTCTGCACAGAGGAAGACCCCCAGAAGCGGCCCTCGGCCTCTCAGATCGTCCAGGCTTTAGAAGGAAACAGCGCCCCCCAGAGCCACGAGGTCATCGTCATCGACTGAACTCTTTACTGTGTTTGTTTTATCTGTGTCTTTAGGAGCTGAGCGCTCGACCCGCTGCAGTCTTTACATGTGAATAAAACCTTTTTGACAAACACATGTTTTGTGGACACTTAAGGTTTCAAACTCCAACTATTTAAAACCCTTCAGATGTGAACACTGGAACATTTTAATCTTAACCCATAGAAGGCTTCAGTTAAAGTTTTAGAAGTTAAAAACATTCCTTTTCTAAGCAAAAGAATAACTCATATACTATTCTTTAGTTCATTCAAGATCTTTCAGTCCATTTCTGGGGCAACGATCTGAGCTGCTCATAGCTCCAGTCCCACAAAGATCCTAACTGCTCCTCTGCAGGAGGACAGCCCTGATCTTAGTGGGTTATGTGTCTTGCTCAGGGGCACAACCATAGACATCAGTGGGAGGTCTGGCATCGAACCCATGACCATCAAGCCCAATGCTCTGATAAGTGAGCATTAACCAGGACATAAAGGCTAAAGTAAAATATGCAGTAAATAAATAAAAGCCCAAATTAAAAAAGTCATTGGTTTGATTTTAATAAACATTGGAATCTTGTGCAAACATTTCTCACTAACATTCATTTTGAAATCTTTAAGCAAAAAACTAAACTTGCATTTGCATTGTTGCCATTCAAAGTCCAGGTCTGCAGTGGAAACAAACTTTACTTCAAATATTTACAAGTTTGAACAAAATACACAACTTTTATACAAAACCTCCCAAAGTGCAGCCTGAATAAATACTGAAAAACCAAAACAACATCTGGAACATAATGATTTATAATAAAAACTAAATGTACAACAGTATTATTCTAAAGCTCAGGTTCTTCCGGGTCTGGAGCATGTTCTGGAGCATGTTATGAAATGAAGTTATAAACGAGGAAGGCCGAGGTGTCGGTGTACTTTGTGGCAAACAGTTTCCCGTCTGGGGTCGGGTCCGAGAACGCGATCTCTTCTTTAGTCAAATGACTGCCATAAATGAAGGTGCTCCTGGAAACACACATTTATATGATCAGCTCTGGTCTCCCTCTCGGGCTCTGCTCTGGTCTCCCTCTCGGGCTCTGCTCTGCTCTCCCTCTCGGGCTCTGCTCTGCTCTCCCTCTCGGGCTCTGCTCTGGTCTCCCTCTCGGGCTCTGCTCTGGTCTCCCTCTCGGGCTCTGCTCTGCTCTCCCTCTCGGGCTCTGCTCTGCTCTCCCTCTCGGGGCTCTGCTCTGCTCTCCCTCTCGGGCTCTGCTCTGCTCTCCCTCTCGGGCTCTGCTCTCCCTCTCGGGCTCTGCTCTCCCTGGTCTGGTCTCTCTGGTCTGGTCTGGTCTGGTCTGGTCTGGTCTCTCTCCCTAGGATGATGCCCAGGACAGAATACCTGAGCGTGTCCATCATGCGTGTGGCGATGGCGTGGCGTCGGGCTAAGCTGAACACCCAGATGCGGCTGATGCCACACACGGCGTGCTCCGGGACCGTGGAGCAGCACCACGCCCTGTGGCGCTCCATGAAGTCGTCCCGCCGCATGTCCTTCTCCTGGTCAGGCTGCAGCAGCACTCTGAAAGCCTGACGCACAACAACAACAGGGGTCACGCGACGCACAACAGGGTCACGCGACGCACAACAACAGGGGTCACGTGACAGCCACACAAACCAACCCTTGGTACCATTTCTGATTGGTTCCGCGACCAGGCAGCCCACAACCATTTTGTCGGAGTTGATGAAGAGGTAGGTCTTTGCTTGCGCCGGCCTCGACAGCGCCCCCTGCTGGAAACCCAACTCGCTGTCAGCAACCTGCCGCACTTCCTCTGCCTGAAACAAGAACAACAACACTTTGTTTTCTTCTCCAGAGTCAATTTATTTTAGCATATTATTACTTTATTATTAAATGTTATTATCCATTATCTTAAATCACAGGCCATTTTGCATAGCTCCAGTAGAGCACTATTTTTGGCGGAGATAGGCGTGACTCTGTCAGTTACTATATACAGTCTAATGGTTTTAACCCTAACCCTGACAATAAAGACATATCTGATCTTATCCAATAAACACACTCTAATCATTTTGTTTCCAGTCTTTTAAACACTTAAAGATGCTTCACATTCTTTCACTCCTCACAACTACTGTAGCCGCAGCTGCCCTGGGACAGCTGTCTGTGCCCTTCAGGAGACTCCAACTGCCCCCTCTCTAAGGGTCTCCCATCTCACAGCACTAAACCAGGTCCCTGCCCTGCTTTGCTCCCAGAGATCTGATGGGATCCGTCTTTGACCTGCCGGTGGCGCCCCCTCCCTGTACATAACTATGACCAATACTTTCTTGATGGCGTATTTGGGGTCGACCTGTCCGGGAATCACCAACAGGATCTTTCAGTACCCCAGAAGTGCGCCACGACCTCGCTCCTTCTTCCAGCCCTGAAACAAATCTATATTTATAATAATACACTTTCTAAAGTAGTTACAGAGACGCTCATTTATGTTTAACGTGTGTAACATGTGTAATGTGTTTAATATATTTAATATGTTACACATATTAAACATGTGTAACATGTTTAATATGTTGTTGGGGAAGGATTAAAGACATTTTATTCTTCCAACTCCTTTTCAGTAAACTATATTGTTATGTTCCTCTGATGCACGTTAGCATGACGTTAGCATGACGTTAGCATGACGTTAGCATGACGTTAGCATGACGTTAGCATGTACGTTATGTCTGTTGTAAACTGTGATGGACCAGAGGTGACTTGTGCTTAAAGTGAAATGCATAAAATTAATAAACAAACAATAAAGTCTTTTAAAGAATCAAAAAGCGTATTTTTCTTCACAGACCATGAAGTAACATTTTGGGCTCAGAAACAGAACTTTGTGTCTCTGCGAGTGTTGGGATCGTGTCCGAGGGGTTGTTGGCTGTACACCATCCCGCAGGAGCACAGCTCTGGGCCGAAGATGCTTCTGCCCGACGTCACGTTAGTGCATACACAAATCACAGGAGAAGGCTTCTGGCCCCGCGGTCCTGTCTAACATACACACATCCCTACAGCCACTGGTTCCACAGCTCTGATGGCACACCGCACTGCCCTGTCAAATGATCACCAACTGCAGTCCTCTGATTCACGATAACACACCCTCAGCCCTGTTCACATTAGTGTGTAAACCTCCTCAGCCTGTTCACATAATACACACCCTTCAGGCGCTCGCCTGTTCACATAAAGACACACCCCTCTAGCGCCTCTGTTCACATAATACGACACCTCTCCGCCCTGTTCACTTAAACACACACCGCAGCGCCCGGTTTCACATAACACCACACCTCAGCCCGGGGAACATATAAACACACTCCCTTAAGCCTGTGCACATCAGCGCACCCTCAGCCCTTGTTCACAGAACACACCCACAGCCCTGTTTACACATATATAAAGCCCGCCAGAATGCTACACTTAAACATCACCCTCAGCCCTGTTCACATAAACACACCCTCAGCCCTGTTCGCATCATACAACCTCAGCTGCGTCATACATAAACAATACCCCTCAGCGCCCGTGTGCTCGATAAACACCAACATCAGCCCTGTTCATCAATAAACACACCCTCAAGCGCCCTGTCCGCATACTTACTACACCTAGCCCTGTCTCACATACACTCAACTCTCAGTCCTCTGTGTCACATAACTCACACCCTCAGCGCCCGGTTTCACTCGTAATACTACACCCTCAGCCCTGTTGCATCATAAACACACACTCAGCGCCTCTGTTCTCTTAAACACACCTCAGCATGTTAACATAGAACTCCCTAAGGCCCTGTTCACATACACACATCATCAGCCCTGTTCACATAAACACAACACTCAGCCCTGTTCACATATTAACACAACCATCAGCGCCCCCGTGCACATTAAACACCCTAGCCTGTTAACATGAAACACACCCTGCTATGCCCTGGGTCACATAAAACACGACCCTCGAGGCCCTGGGACCTCATATAATCAACACCCTTTCAGCACCTGTGCACTTAAAACATCACTCCCTCTAGCCCGGTGTTCACATAAACTCACGCCCTCAGCCACTGTTTGCTGTTGCACATAAACAATCCCTCCTGCCCTGTTGCAACATAAACACATCCCTCAGTCCCGGTTCACCATATTAATTCAACAAACCTCCGCGTCCTGTTTCTCCATATAAACACACCCTCAGCCACTGTTCATCATAATAACAAACCTATCAGCGCCCTCAGTTGTTCCTATGTCAACATAAACTACACCCTACAGGCATCTGGTCACATTAAAAGACACACTCCAGCAGCCCTGTGCACTTTAAATCACACCTCAGCCCTGTTCACCATAAACACTACACTTCAGCCTCTGTTCACAGTAAACACACCCTCTGCCTGTTCATCTAAACACACCTCAGGCAACTGTTCACTAGAATCACAACCTCGCACTGTTAACAGAACGCATCACCCTCAGCATTGTTCAGCATAAATCACACCCTACAGGCGCACTGTTCACATATAACTCCACCCTCAGCGCCCATGTTCACAATAAACAACACCCTCTGCCCTGTTCACATAACAACCCTCCATCAGCCCTGTTTCACGATATAAAGCACTCCCTTTCAGCGCCCTGTTCACTTATATACACACCCCGTCAGCCCTGTTCACATATTACACAACCGCTCAGCGGCCCGGTTCCATCATAAACAACACCCTCAGCCTGTTCACATTAATCACACCTCATCGTCCGCCCTGTTCTACATAAACTACACCGCTCGTGCGCCCGCGTGTTCACATTAAAACATCACCTCTCAGCCCTGTTCTGACATAAAACACAATCCCTCAGCGACGTCCTTGGTTGCACATAATCTCACACCTCAGGCCCTGTTCACTTAAACAACCTCAGCTGTTCACAGTAATCTCACCTCAGCCCTGTTCACCTATAAATCACACAACTCCAGCGCCTGTTTCACTTAAACACACCCTCAGCTGTTACATAAACACACCCTCTGCGCCTGTTACATATAATCACACACTCAGCCTGTTCACATAAAACACACCCAGTCAGCCCTGTTTCGCATTAATCATCACCGCTGCCCGGTTCACTTAAACACATCCTTCCAGACTGGTCACATAAACAACACCTCAGGCCCTGTTCACATAAACACACCCTCAGCCCTGTTCAATTAAATCACCCTCAGCGCCCTGTTCACATAAACACACCCTCAGCCTGGTTCTCATTAAAACACCCTAAGCCCTGTTCTATTAAAACACACCCTATGCCTGTTAACATATAACCACTCCCTCAGCCCTGTTCACATAAACACACCCTCAGCCCTGTTCACCTAAACACACCCTCAGCCATGTTCACATAAACACAACCTACGGACACGCACAGGAAGTTTTACTCTAGACATTAGTAACTAATTCATCAGCATTCTCGGTTTACATAATTAGCATAAAGTAAACATAATCAGGAGCCATCTACAATCATCATAACGTAAAGTTAGTGATTTTTTTCTGCTTCTTTATTTTGCTAAAGATTTTATTCTTTTTAGTAGTTATTGGTCCATTTATCTGGTGTGTTCTGTAACGATGTCAACATGAACTTTCTTTCTCTTCTTGTTGTATATCCTTTCGTTTTGACGCATAAGGAAGAGTTTTTATGCTAATTCTATGGAGGACTGCAGCCGGCAATGGATAAAGCAGAAGATTAAGTGAATATGGAAATGACGTATGATGGAGCTGATCTTCATCCTGACTGTCCTGCCTCTTCCTCAGGGGTCCTCTTCCCTTTTTAGTCACAGGGACTGCAATGCCTCACAGGGCTCAGGGGGGGCCATGCAGGACACAGGAAGGCATCTGAGCTGCCACTCCTGCTCCTGAGAGAGAATGTCTGTGGTTTCATTTTGTTACCAAAATACTACGGAAAGCTACAGGTATACAATACTTACTTTTTGGGGAAGATCAAAATATGGGATAAACACACTGTGGAAAAAGAGAAGGTGTAAAAACTGAACCAATGATCACAGCGTTACGATGAGGTTAGAAAGATGATGCTCCTGTGGTCTGGACTGTACCCGCCGCTCAGAGGGCTCATGTCATGTGGTCAAACTAGGCGCCTAAAACAGTACCACAAGCTGCAACTTCACAATCCTACAACAACCTGCTGGACCACAGATACCACATCTTGTTATAAGTTGTGAGTGTATGTGTGCGTACGTGTGGTTGTGTGTGTATCTCCAACAGAGACATCAGAGGAAGAGAGGTCATCCTCAGGGCTTGCTTTTATGTGACTAGAGCTGAACAGATATTTAGGGACTGTTCACATAAAAAACTGACGCAGGAAATGTGTGAGAAATAACAGAGTTAAAGTGAAAAGGGCAGGATCTATCACAGGGGTGGTTTTATAGGTGCTAGAGCATACAGTCAGAAGCAGAGTTCATGACCTTAGTTATTTGACTACAAGTTTTAGTTATGCAACGTTATGATTGAAATTTAGCAGAATATTCATGAAAATGTGAGACAGCTTCTTCTTTGGACTATGGCCTGAAGCAGAGGAGTACACAGGGGTCGGTCTGGTGTGGTCTCTATGTCAATGTTTAAAACCAGGTTAATGAATGTTCTGTTTAGCTGTCTAAAACTGAGGGATTTTATATTTTTTTATCTTTTCTTTTATTGTTTCTGTGATTAGTTATGGATTTTAATGCTTTCTTGTTTTGTTCAGCACTTTGAATTGCCTTGGATAATGGACTGTGCCATCTTCAAAATGACGTTTTGTGGAAGTAACAAAGGTTCTTAATTGGTCCGGCAGGTTCTTAGCGGTCCGGCAAGTTTCTTAGCGGTCCGGCTGGGTATTAGCAGGTACGGCAGGTTCTTAGCGGTCGGCAGGTTCCTAGCGGTTGGCAGGTTCTTTAGCGGTTTGCTGCCGGGCCGGTTCTTAGCGGTTCCTGCAGGTTCTTAGCGGTCCGGCAGGTTTCTTATGCGGTCCGGCAGGTTTTAGCGGTCTCTGCAGTGTTCCTGTAAACTCTCATCCAGAGAATCTAACGTGTGGACATTTACTGGTGATTTTTGAGCGCCAGAGCCTGTAGAATCTGAGTCCCGGGAACTCCGCAGCAACACAACGGAATGATTCTTTGTTGGATGGCCAAAAATCTCTCTTTGGGGAGATCTGGGAATGAGAAGGAGTCGTTAAAAAGGTGCTTTGCTCATGAACAGGAACACTGTAGATTTCTAACCCTTCTGGAAGTTGGAGGAAGATAGTCCGTTGATTTCATCAACGAGTCAACGTCCAAAGGATCTTAAACTGTCTCGCCTGTTTTGGTTTTGCAGGTCCCTGGGGCAGACCTGGGGCCAGCACTGGGGCAGACCCTTTTGGTGGAGACCTGGGGCAGTACCCTGGGAGAGGCAGACCCTGGGGCAGAACCTGGGGCAGACCCTGGGGCAGACCCTGGGGCTGACCCTGGGGGCTGACCTGGGGCAGACCCTGGGGAGGTCCCTGGGGCTGACCCTGGGGCAGGTCCATGGGGAAGGACCCTGGGTGCGAGAACTGGTGAAGACCCAGGGGCAAGACCTGGGTGAGCCTGGCGGCAGACTGGGCAGAACTGGGGCCAGACCCTTCTGCATGAGGAGGTAGGGGTCTCTGCTGCAGGGAGGAAGGTTGGTCTTGTCTCTTGCACAGTTGGGTCTACTTCAGCCTGGTGACCCTCTTGGGCATGGTTGGGAGGACTTGGGAGCAGATCTTTTGTACATAGATGTTGGTTACTTGCTGGTTCCAAGAAGGCAGCTCCAACAAAACGCTTTGGTTTCGGTGTCCCGCTGCTGAAAGGCGAAGGTGATGCCTTTCTTGGTCTCTAGGCGCCGCTGCGGTGGTGGCGCATGTCGCAACTAGAGACTTTTGGAACGTGCCTGGTCTCACTTTTGTATTTCACAAAAAACACTACTACAGCCATAGGAGGAGATTATAAAGTTAACTAGCTCTTAATTGGTGTCAATTAGTGAACGGATCGATTATGTTAGTATCGCAATATTTATTAGACTTTATAATCTTGTTTGGCTCTCCCGTGGACAGACCAAAGGAGACATTTGAGTTTAGCAACAATTTTTCTCCTCAATTTTTTGTTATGCTTTTGGATAATGGTGAGGGACTATAGGAAAATGCAGGGGCGACAGTAGCTCAGTTGGTAGAGCATTGGCCTTAAGGCCAGAAGGTCGTGGGTTCAATTCCCACCTCTGCACCTTCTCCACCGACTCCCACTGATGACTGCTGTCGTTGTGTCCTTGGGCAAGACACTTAACCCCACTTTGCCCAAAGCCCCCACTGAAAGATCAAGGCTATGCTCACACTCAGAGAGCAGCCGTCCTCCTGTGGACGCACCACCTGCAGAGGGTCAGTGAGGGGCTGGTGCTATGAGACTTGGGTGGCATCTCTGACTGCCACCCCCCTGACCAGAAATGGATTAAAGGGTAGAAGATGGTTGGGGGACTTTACGGAACTGTGGACCAACTATCGAGTAATACTATTCAAATCACACTTTTTTGCCAATGTCAATATTAGTTAGTCTTTACATGTTTGTGTGACCTCCATCACAAGTGTTTGATGTAACCTCATCACATGTTTGCGTGCACTTTAAAGTCAGGTTGGTGTAACTGTTGCAGCTGGAGTTGCTGAGGTGTGTAGAGTTTAATAACAATTGTGGCGTTCTTTGTGACGGGGGACTTTTTTTGACCTTGCCTCCTGTTCGGCCGTTTCTTGTTGATGGTCACGGTCTTCTTGAGCCCTGAGATGAGGGAGGGGGTGGAGCGGCTTGCTGGAGGGGGGCGGGTAATGGGACTCCTTCACCTTCTTCTCTCCAGTGGGGTGAGGGTACACGTTATTCTGTTTGCAGTAGATAGGTAGCGCGGCCAACGTGGGTTTGTATTGCGAATTGTGCAGGAGGAGTGAAGAGAAGAGAAAAATCTGACACTTTTCTGTTTTTATAATGGACATTATTACACTTTTATGTGGGAATAAGTTGATTTTTTTTTTTATTTGTCATTGTGACCGTATTAAATCAGCATGGTACCTGAGTACTTTATAATTAAAACAGTCATAGATGTAGTGACGCATTTGATCTCCAATCAAGTATCTGATTGGGTTAATACCTATGTACATTGAACTCAAAACACAAATAAAACACTCAACTCAACAATATATAGGCGTGTATCCTGGTGTTTCATGTGTAACATGAAGTTGTGTATCTATTATACCTAATATGTATATATATATAGACAGTACAGACCAAAAGTTTTTTTATTTTCATGATTATGAAAATTGTAGTTCACAATGAGGCATCAAACCTATGATGAACTCATAGTGAATGATTATTCGTACTAAAGAAAGTATGAACAAGTGTAAATTATGTGTTATATTCAGTTCTTTCAAAGTAGCTCCTTTGGCTCTGATAATGCTTCACTCTTGGCATTATCTGGATGTAGCTTCAGAGGACTGAAATGGTCTTCAACAGTCTTGAAGGAGTTCCCATGATGCTTGCACTTGTTGGCCCTTCACTCTGGTGGTCCGCCCAAAAACCTCCTGGACTGGGTTCACGTCCGAGACTGTTGAGGCATGTGGCCCAGCACATCTCTCTCCTTATTGGTCAAACAGCCCTTACACAGCCTGGTGTGGTCTTCAGTCACATGAAAAGGGAAAGGACACTTTGTATGGGCGACAGTAGGCTCATTTGGTAAAGCGTTGGTCATACCAAATGAGCTACTGTTCGCCCATACAAAGTGTCCTTTCCTTTTATGACTGTTGGACCACACCAGGCTGTGTTGGGCTGTTGACCAATAGTGAGAGAGGTGGTTGCTGGGGCCACATGACCTCAACAGTCATCGGGACGTGAACCCAGTCCCAGGTGGTTTTGGGGGCTGGACCACAGGAGTGAAGGGGCCAAACAAGTGCTAAGCATATCATGGGAACTCCTTCAAGACTGTTGAAGACCATTTCAGGTCCTCTTGAAGCTCATCCAGAGAATGCCAAGAGTGAAGCAGTATCAGAGCCAAAGGAGTACTTTGTAAGAAACTTGAATATAACACATATTACACTTGCTTGGTTCATACTTTTTTAGTACGAACATCATTCCACATGAGTTCATCATAGGTTTGATGCCTTCATTGTGTGAATCTACCAATTTTCATAAATCATGGAAAATAAAAAACTTTTGGTTCTGTTACTGTATATATATATATACATATTATTGTATATATAGATGACACACGTTCATGATACAACATAAACACCAGGATACACGCCTATATATTTGTTGAGTTGAGTGTTTATTTGTTTTGAGTTCAATGTAAATCAGATATTATTTATCAAATTGTTCACTACATAGGTTTTTGTACCATGATAATTTCATTAACAATGACTTATAAATTGTACATGATTCAACTCAAAAAGGAGTGGGGAGGAAGAATTACACATTTCGGTTCCCCACTCTGTGAGATAATACACACTTACAGATATATGCACACACACATATATCAATGCCCCCCTTCTATATAGTTAAAGATAAAAACCATTGTACCTAAAGAATTTTCCTTCAATCCTATCCCTTCTGGGTTCAAAACTAAACAACGTTTCGAAGTCTTGAGCATTTTCCCAGTTACTTCAAATAAAATGAATATCTGTTTGGTGACAGCTTTTTGTGTTCGGGTCCATCCATCTCTTGTCTGTGTCACTTGTCCCACACTGTGACTGTGTCTAAATGACCCGATAAGTCCCTACCCGGCCTTTCCCTTTGTCCTGCTGGTCCACTCAGCACCCACTCCATCAGATCACACCTGCTGCAGCACCCATGGGCCACCCTACCTCCCCAACCCCAGGTTACAGGCCCCTGAAGCCCCCACTCTGCCGATCCAGGGTTGTGACCTTGTTGTGAGTTGCAGCTCGCAGGTGAGTCTGTAAGTGTCCATCTAATCCTGCATGTTGACAGAGGAGTTTAGTCTAAGTTGACTGCGCTTAGAAGGGGAACGGGTCTGATGGGCGGATTTAAAGAGACATGCAGCGGATAAAAGTGCTCCACCCCCCCCCCCCCTTTCCCCCCCCCCCCCCCCCCCCACACTCCCCCGCCCTGGACGCCTTTGCCCCTATTTACGCCCCCCCCTCACTCTTCTAGTGGGCAAGCACCATTGGGGTGTTAAGAAATAAACAAAAAACTTTAAATGCTAAAACAGTTTGTGGGAAAGGCTAAATAGGAGGTTCTGACTGTAGGTAGCAGTTAGTAATTTTTACAACTAAGCTATTAGGGGTTCCAGGAATTCAAAAAAAGGGCTCATCTGTACTTTGTTAAGACACAGCAACTTCCAAATCGTGACATTGACACGGGGCACGTTCACAAGTTGTGTGTGTAATGCACCTATGCAATTAATGCCATTGGTTTATCTTACAGTGCTTTTTTGGACTGTCAAAGATGCTTCAAGGCAACCAGTCTGTGCCATCAGCCCTCCCACACCACTCCAGACTCATTCTAATGTGATGTGTCTTGCCTAAGGAACACAACCACAATTTTGCACTTTACAGCCCTCAGGCCACCCTACTGTGGCCCCAGGTGTTCCCAGAGGTCTTCCCTTCTCAGTACCAGCCCTGCTTTGCATCAGAGCTTCTGACAGCGTCTGGCTTTCACTGCAGATATGGCCAGGTACAAACATGAACTGCAAGGAGTAACTCCATCCAATAACAAAACATCATAGAGGAACTTTCTAACCAGCGGAAACCATTGTAAATCTTTTCTTGGTTACAAATAAGTTTTATCAGTTTTTTTTCTCATGCATTTCCCACTTGATATGAGTGAAAACTCCGGCCTTGAAGTAAAGCCACTCTTGCTCGTCCCGGTCACACACCTTGTTTTGCAACCAAATCTAAAAGATTAAATGTGTTTCGTTGTCGCTCGGTGAGTCTTCTGTCTGTTATCGGCCCTGACCTGGTCCCATCCATCACTGGACGCGTCCGGCTGCTCCTGCCCAAGCACGCTCCCACAGCTGGGCACCAAAGCAGCGACACATCCCACTCCCTATGTGTCCGTCACCAAAGTTGTGCATTACTGGTGTTGTGTGATGTTTGTTTCGTACTCAGACCTTTCACGAGTAAGAAACTGGAAACGAAACCTTTTGTTCCAAACTGTTTCTGTGATGGATTATTGTTGATCAATCAACCTTTTGGGAATTCACACTGAAGTCTTGTTGTTGGAAATCCACTAATGCCATTGTCGGCACATGCGGCGCTCTTACTCCAAGCTCTTCTTGTGTGACTCCACTCCCTCTCTCTCTCTAAGGGAGCAGAGGAAACGTACGATGGACCACGTATCCGCGATCAATCCTTTTCAGCCATGGACCCAAAGCTCATGATCTCAGAGGTGAGGGAGTGGGAACAGAGATTGAAGAGAATTGAGAATTTGCGTTTTGACTCAGCTCTCTTTACCACAACCGTCTAAACAAAGCTCTGACTGCAGACGTGCTCCCTTCTCATTAAATGTTCTTTCCTGGTTAATTGCAGGAGGGTCAAAGGACAATTGTTGATGATCAGGACAGGGTTACCTTCTAAAGTGGTTCCACATAACTTGATCAAGCTCAGTGGACTATCGGGTGCCGGACATC